TATAATATAGAAATGTATATTCATATATTTTCATTAAATAGCATATGAGCAGAGTGTAAATCGATTAATAAAAAAGTGAAGTCCCTGATCTAATCAAATTAAATTATACTCATCGATATCCTTGTTGTACCAGATATTATCTTTTACATTAATGTAAAGAAATATAAAATTAATATTGCGATATTACTGGCCAAAGTATATTATGTATAAACATTTGCGTACTTCTACTAATAGTTAATTAAATCAGAAATTATTAAAATATATAGTAATAATAACAATAATAATTATATATAATAATCTCAGGAATCTAATAGTCTGAAATAGTGAATAATCTGAAATAATAAATTACATTTAACAGTAACCTCATGATATTAAAAATGATAATTTGAGAAATATTCTTAATCTTTATTAATAGATTTGTGCATAATAGACATTATAGGCACACTTTTAAACTATGAATTTAAATATAGTAAATTACGAGATGACTCGACATTTAATTTGTACCTATGTTTTCTTATTATTTCTTACGATGCGACGTAATCAACGAACTACAAGGACTCTGCTTAAAAAAATCAAGAAATTTCAAGAAATTCAAGTTTCTTGAATTTAAGACAAGAGATACAATGTCAAGAAATGGTCAAGACAAGAAAAACAAAATTTTTTATCTTAAAGATCAAGACAAGACAAGAAATGCTTTTTAAGACAAGAAATCTTGTGATGAAACACTATTTATGCATGTTGTATTATCTAATTTTTTGTTATAATCAGATAACACATATATATATTTGAGAAACAATAACGACGTAATAATATAATTTAACATGTAAATTTTTTACAGTGTACTTATAGATAAAATCTCAAAATATAAATTCCATTTACTATTTGTAGATTTGAACATTGCAACTACATTTTTTCTAACGACCTTCGACATTTTTCATAAATTTCAAACAATATAATTTAAAATAAATCTGCATTTATATTTTCTTTTACATTAAAATACAAAATTCTTTTAGTTGAATTATTTGTACTATTAAAAAAATAATTCCAAATGTTTCAAATGTGTATTTTATTTTTGCAGCACGAATTTCTCAATAAAAAAATGATAAGATTTAACTAAAGTTCAATATCTGCAATTTTTAAAAATTTAATGTTATAAGTATTGAACTATTAATCTATAATTGCATTCATTCAATCAATATTCAATTTAGCACCAAATATAAAAAACTATTAAAAAATTATCTGATTGAGAGTCTGTTATTCCGATAAAATTATAAACAACAACATCTTATATAAATAGCAACGATTTATACAATAATAACGCGTCATTAAAATTATTGCGACGGTATGTTAAAAATCGGGAATATAAACAAAATTACTTTACTATATACGTTATTGTAAATTAATTATCGGACGAAAATTTATAATTTTTAATATTTTGAAAGTTTAATAATATAAAACGCTTAAAATATTTAAATTAAATTCTTTTTTTTTTTCGCGCTACGCAACTGATTTAGACCAATGTGCATCATTTCGAATAGAATCAAATCTTTTTTATTCGAAAACAAATCAAATTTGATTCTCATTTTTCTGGATTTATATTAAAAGCTAAAAAAAAAATAGAAAAAATTATATTAAAAGAAATAAGTCATTTTAAATTTACAGATATATATCAATAAAATAAACAAAAATGTATTTAAAAAAATCTTATTTTTTATTAGCAGTTTTTTA